TGCTATAGAGAAAAAGGCAGTGAGAAGTGGGATAAGGGCTTCCAGGAGGGAAGAGATGACAAGTTTTAACTGACAGATGGTCTCCCTGAGATGATGACAGGTGAGCTAAGACCTGAAGGAGGTGAGAGCGAGCCCCAGTGACACCTGCGTTTCAGGCAGAGGGAAGGGCAGTGAGGTGCCAGCAGGCCTAGTATGTTCGAGGGGAAGCAGGGAGCCCAACCAATGAGGCCAGAGTGGAGAGGACAAGAGAGCAAGTAGCAGGAGATGATGTCCGAGGGACAGCAGGGTGGAACTTGATCAGGCGGAGTCTTACCATCTATCGGGAGAACTCTGGACGTTCTTATGGAGATGATCGGAAGCCAGTGGAGGGTTCTGGGTGGAAGAATAACATGACCTAATCATGTGTTACCAAGATCATGTTGGTTGTTGTTGAAAAAGAGGAAATGAGTTAGGAGGCTATTTCAAGACTGTAGTAGAAGCAGGGTTTTTTGTTTTGCTTGTTTTATGTTTGTTTTGCAGGGGTGGGCAGGGGGTGGTGGTGAAAATCAGCAGCTTGCCTTTGGATGTATTAAATTTACGATGCCCAACAGACATCCAAGGTGAGCTGTCACCAGCCACTTGGACATCCGAAGTCTATGGTTCTGGGGAGAAGTCTGGCCTGGAGTTCTAACTATGGGAGTTGTCAACATAAAGACGGTATTTAAATGAGATCAGTAAGAAAGTTATCACAGACAGAAATAGGAAGACATCTAAGAACTAACCAGGAGTCAATCCAACATCAAAGATTTGAGTCATGAGGAAGAATCAGCAAAGGAGAATTAGGGCCAATAAGGAAGGAAGAAAATCAGGCTTAGGCTCAGAAGTGAAGAGTCAAAGGCATCAAGCGGCGGTGTTGATAGTTAAGTCAGGTGAGGACTGAGGATGGGTTGTACCTGGGGATCCCATTTATTTAGCCTGTTGGTTATTCCTCAGTCTCTCAGCCCACTCCCTCAGAATACACCCAGACTCACTTTTTGCATCCCCCTGCCTCCTTTCAGCCAGCATCCACTTCTTTGCCTCTTCTAACAGAAATCAGAAATCGTGCAAGCTTTCACCACCTGTTCCTTGCATCAATACAACAGAAGGCCTTCATGCTAGTAGTCTAATGCAGAAACCCCCTTATAAAGGGACAGAAAGTAGAAACAGAGTGAAGGCTATGAATTTTGATAACTATATATTAAAAAATTTTGTGTGTGTATCTGTTGACTAAAAATAAAACCATTCAAATGCACCAGCTATCAAAGAAATACAGATTAAAAATAAATCGGCCACCATTTTTTTTGCAAATCAAACTGGCATTTAACAGAACATATCCTGTATGGGCAAGACTCAGCAGACATTCTCATATACCACTGGTGGAAGTGTTAATTGGTAAAGCTTTTCTACAGGGCAATTTGGCAACATATAAGAATAATTTTTTTTTTTTTTTTGCAGTACGCGGGCCTCTCACCGTTGTGGCCTCTCCCGTTGCAGAGCACAGGCTCCGGATGCGCAGGCTCAGCGGCCATGGCTCACGGGCCCAGCCGCTCCGCGGCATGTGGGATCTTCCCAGACCGGGGCACGAACCCGTGTCCCCTGAATCGGCAGGCGGACTCTCAACCACTGCGCCACCAGGGAAGCCCCAGAATAATTTTTGTAAAGTTCCTTCTTCACACCTTTTGGTCCAGTGATTCTGCTTCTAGCAATTTATTGTAAGGTAATAATCAGAATGTACAAGATTTCTATAACAGGATGTTCACTTTAGCATTGTTTCCTATAGAATTTATAGAAGTCTATAAAATTCTACATTCTTGTGGAATATAGGAACAATACCTTAGTACTGTTTCTTAACAGAATGTATAGGGTTAAATTATAATTAATAATTTAATACCCAACATTGGATCTTGAGTCGATAAATTACAAGAGAGCCACAAAAGAAATACTCTGCAGCAAAATAATATCTAAAAGACCTGAGAACATGTCCACAAGGTATTAATAACGTTTTTAAAAAGTGCTATAAAATGGTATTTATGGTATGAGTCTAATTTTATAAAGAAAAAGAAAAATGAGAAAGGTATCAACTAAAATCTTGATAGTAATTATTTCCATACATGTTTGAGATCACAGGAGTTTTTATCAGAAATATTTATTGAGGGCCTACCATGTGGCAGGATAGGTAGTGAACAGTGACAATATTCCAGCTCTTGCAGTGCTTACATTCTATGAGGAGGGATACGGACAATAAACAATAATAAGTAAGTCTTTTAGGAGGTGATAAGTGTTGGAGGAAAAATACAGAGCAGAAAAAGTGGGATTAGGAGTGGTATGGCTGCCACTTTAAATATGGTGGTCAGGGTAGGTCCTATTGAGAAGCCATTTAACAAAGACTTTATGGAGTTGAAGGAATTAGCCATGTGAATCTAGAGGGAAAGGTATTCCAGAGAAGGATGAGCAAATGCAAGGCCCTAAGGTGGGAGTGTGTCAGGTACGCCTGAGGATGGGCAAGGAAGTCTGGGAGGCTGGAGTGGAGTGAACACAGCAGTAGAAAATGAGGAGCCAGACTGGGGAGAACCTACTGGAGGGCTTTGGGGATGTTGGAATAGACAGGTTAAGCTACCGTAATAACTGAGATGAGAGATGACAGTGTTGTGATCAAGTGGAAACAGTAAATACAGGGAGAACTGGTCAGATTCTGGATATACAGTTGATCCTTGAACAAAAGGGGGGGTTTGTTCGTGCACCCACCCTCCACACAGTCAAAAATGCTCATTAGAGCTTCCCTGGTGGCGCAGTGGTTGAGAGTCCACCTCCCGATGCAGGGGACAGGGGTTCGTGCCCAGGTCCGGGAAGATCCCACATGCCATGGAGTGGCTGGGCCTGTGAGCCATGGCTGCTGAGCCTGCGCGTCCAGAGCCTGTGCTCTGAAACAGGAGAGGCCACAACAGTGAGAGGCCTGCATACCCCCCCCACCAAAAAAAAAAAAAAAAAAAAATGCTCATTAACTTTACAGTCAGCCCTCTGTATCCACGGTTCCACATGCACAGATTCACATGTAGGGCTTTAGTATATATTTATTGAAAAAAGTCCGCACAGTTCAAATCTGTGTTGTTCGGGGTCAAATGTACTTTGGAAGTAAAACCAACATAATTTCTTAATGGTTTGGGTATGGGGAACAAAGAAAGAAGGCCTTCAAGATACGGAGCCTGAATGATTAGGAGGATAAAGTTGTCAGCAATTGAGGTGGAAAGACTGTGTGTAGAGCAGGTGTGGGGTGGCAGTGGGGGAGATCAGGAGTTGAGCTGTGGACATGGTGCGTCTCTCCAAGGGCAGACGTCCAGGAGGCAGGTGGCTATGGAAAAGTATGGCGTTCACAGGACAAGTCTGGAGAGATACACTCGGAAATCATTAGCATAAAGATGGTATTTGAACTGTGGGAATGGGTGAGCTCATCAAGAGAGTTCTTACTACCTAGAGAGTATTAATAATCACAGTAGACTGGCTGGGCTCCCTGTCAAACATGAAAACATGTTCCATTTATTCCATTAAAAAAACTACCTTTTTTATACCTCACTTCCCTGGTCAGCCACCACCCATCTCTCTAACTCCCTTTGCAGTGAAATTCCTCAAAAGGGGTGTCTATACTCAACAGTCTCCAACTCCGCCCCCACCCCCACCCCCGCCGCCTCCTTGATTTCTCTCAAGGCATTCTGCCAAAACCATCCGTGCAGCAGATGGTACTGCTGGGAGATCACAGAAAAACTGCCTGGACAACCAACCTCCCCTGTGAAGTCTGGCATACTCTGTCACCTGAAATTCCTCTCCCTCCAACCTCTCCATTTAAGATAGAAACATTTAGGGTCAGCATGACCTTACATGACATCATCGCCCCCCTCTGTCACCACACACATACACACTAAGAGGCCATTCACCCCCACTGGAAATTCTGTGGCTTGTAGTTTCAAAATTACAGATTGAATTGAAGCCGTTAAAGGTTATGAAACTGGGGTGGGAAAGCCTATTTTGCCAGAAAAAACTGGGGAGAAAGAAAAATCATAACCCTTCGACCTCACTCATAGCACTTTGTAATGTGGGAAAGCAAAGCACTTCCTATTTCCTGCCCCTTCACCAATGGACGGCATTACAAAGAGAAAGCCCTGGAAATCAACTCTGGATATTGCCGTTGGACGGTTCTGCATCCTCAGCCAGAACTGAGAAGTTTACATTTTCATTCACATCCTCACCCCCCTGCCGCTGCATGCTGTGCTCCCTCCTACGTGCCTCACATCCCCACTTGGATGGTATCTGTTCTGTTTCTCCCTCCCACAGGTCCAATATTGTCATTCTCCTCCCCTCCTTCTCCTTATAAAAACCAGTCTCAGGAAAAGAAGGCAGAAGGAATGGTGGTTGCAAACTGGCAGGAGTTTTGTGTTAGTTCTCATTTTACCAGTGGAAGAAACCAAGTCTCAGACGATGAAGTGAACTGCCCAAAGGTCAACAGCTAATTAGTAGGAAAGCTCCAAAAATTTCGGATCAACTCATATACATGAAGGTATATTGATTGATCTGCTCTCTGACAAAGGCATGTTCTAGCAGAAGCCATAGCCTTGGGCCAAAAGAATGGATGAAGGAAGTGGAAAGGGAGGAACAGCAGGCAGGGGGAGGATGCTATTATTTTAGCCTTAGGGCAGTTTTTTGGATGTTTGATTTTGCCTAACTGGCTCCCTTATTTGTCTATTTCAGCAGTCCTCAACAGGGGGTGATTTTGTCTTCCAAGGGGATGTTTGGTAATCTCTGGAGACATTTTTGGTTGCCACAACTAGGGGGAAGGTGCTACTGGCATCCAGGAAGTACATGCCAGGAAAGGTGCTAAACAGCCTACAGTGCACAGGACAGCCCCTGACCCCAGTGTATGACCCACAGTGTCAACAGTTTAAGAACTCTGGTTTACTCTGAAAGGAGGGGAAGAGAGAAGAGAACGTTACCAAAAGTTGGCTCTGGAGTGGTGTTCCAAGTACAGTTGTTCATCAGAAAAGGGGGCCAGGTGGATGTCGCCGAACGTCGGGAACATCATTCCTATTGAGCAGAAGACAATAGACTCAAAGTTGACTCCTACTGCCTTCTTACTTGAAGACCTGCCACTTGACCTGTTCCATTCTTTCATTCCATCTCAGTTATTACACAGCAGGCTAAAACGTAAACTTGCCTCAAAGCAATGATAAGAAAATCAGGCAGAAGATTAGACGGAATATAAAAAAGAATGTCAAAGCAAGACACAAAGCTACATTATAATAAAAGTTTAGAGTCCTAGGTGAGGCATTTAACCTGGCATATTAGCTTTCTCAGCTACTGGTTGTTTTTTTTTTAACATCTTTATTGGAGTATGATATTTTTTTTAAATTTATTTTATTTTTGGCTGCATTGGGTCTTCGTTGCTGTGCGCGGGCTTTCTCTAGTTGCGGCCAGCAGGGGCTACTCTTTGTTGCAGTGCACAGGCTTCTCATTGCGGTGGCTTCTCTTGTTGCAGAGCACGGGCTCTAGGCTCGTGGGCTTCAGTAGTTGTGGCACGTGGGCTGAGTAGTTGTGGCTCATGGACTCTAGAGTGCAAGCTCAGCAGTTAAGGCGCACGGGCCCAGCTGCTCCGCAGCATGTGGAATCTTCCCGGACCAGGGCTTGAACCTGTGTCCCCTGCATTTGGCAGGCAGATTCCCAACCACTGTGCCACAAGGGAAGTCCCTGGAGTATAAATGCTTTACAATGGTGTGTTAGTTTCTGCTGTATAACAAAGTGAATCAGCTGTACATATACATATATCCCCATATCCCCTCCCTCTTGCGCCTCCCTCCCACTCTCCCTAACCCACCCCTCTAGGTGGTCACAAAGCACCGAGCTGATCTCCCTGTGCTATGCAGCTGCTTCCCACCTCAGCTACTAGTTTTTCTTCCTTTCTGTATGTCCGGTGCTTGGAATTCTGGGCACTTCTTTTATTTATTTATTTTTTCTTTTATTTATTGTAAAAACAACTTAGCTTTGAAAACAACATTCCATCATCCTATCACATTATTATTTTCATTCTTAGACTTTGTCGATGTATAATCATATCGACTATTTATCTTTTTAAGTGCTGTTAGAACCTATGCTTATGTGCAGGCTCACCATCCTCCACGCTGGGAAGCCCGCAGCACTTGTGTTTTGTTCCTGACATTTGCAGTCGCTGGGGGAAAAGGCAGATAACTTAGCAGGCAAACAAACACCTAGGCTGGCAGACCTGGAGTTGGGCCCTTCTGGGCAGGCAGATGTGGCGATCAGCATTATTATTCTCATCATCTAAAAAACCACAGATCTTCATTATCATCATTCTAATAATAATACCTTAAAGTTCTTGTTTATGTTAACTCTGCCTTGAACCTTTTTATGGGCTTCCCATGTATTAATTCATTTAATCCTCATAATAATATAAAGTAGGTTCTATTATTGTATCCATTTTATAAATGAGAAAACTAAGGAACAGGGAAATTTAAATGATTCAGCCATAACCACAGAGCTAATAAGCGGAAGGAAAAAACCCAGGGGTGAAATCTCTTCCAACAGTCAATGGTCTCATACTTTAACGATGCTCCCCTTGATGTCCGTTAAAATAGAACAGATCATTTTAATTACGGTATTTTCAGAGGTGGTCAGAGTAAAACCACGACTGTAACATCATTCATACTTCTCCATGTAAATCTCAAGCACTATCGTTAAAACAATAATGATTGCTCGGTGGTTTTTCAATTTCAAGATACAAGGATATTAAACAACTCTGGAAAAGTCATATGTATCATTATTTGTGTAAACCTGGGAAGTTTCAGAGGAGGATGTTCTGAGCCCAAGCCTAACAGGAATTGCAAAGATATTAGATAAAATGGAGGCGAGGAAATCATCAAAGGTAAAATACAAGAAAAATTCCCAGAGTAGAAGAAAATGAGTCTTCTGATTTAACATACCCACTAAATGTCCAGCACAAGAATTTCAGAAGTTTCACACTAAGACAACTAGAAATGAAAAAAAAACTACTAAAAGCATCCAGAGGGAAAAACTATGTCATTTTAAAACTTCAGGAGTCAGAATGGCATTCGACTTCTCAACAGCAACATTGGGTACCAGACGCCAAAAAAAGATGCCTTAAAAATACTGAGTAAAAATTGTTTTCAAGTTAAAATTCTCTACCTAACAAAATGATAATACGAGGACTCGATAAACAGAAACTTCTCAACCACCCTTTCTCCAGAAGCTATTAGAAAATATTCTTTGCTGAAATGAATGGTATAAACCAAGAAAGGGGAAGACAAAAGAATATGGTGGGAAGTCAAAGTGTGGGGTAGCCACGCAATAGGACTAGAGAGCTACCAGTTCATGTGTGGTCGAGGAGGACAGAGCATTACAGGAGAATCCCACAAAATAAATATTTATAGGCAATCTGTCAGACCTGTTAAAGCATGGAAAAAATTAGTCATGAGTATACGGAAAACTAAACTAATGAAAAAACAAGGCAATTTACTCCAGGAAAAACAAAAGATTTCATGAAAAAAATATATAATCATATGCACCTACCATACCACCTGACTCAGCACTGAACAGTACTTACATTGTCATAATAATGCAAACACCAATTATTGATTTAAACAAGTAATAATCTAGGTCTATTAAAAAACTATTCTGAAATCCAAAAAGCTCTGCAAAGCAACGGATTTTGGTAAGTTTGCAACATCATTTGATGGCAAAACCTGACCTGAACTGACATGAGTTTATAGTCCTTATTTATCCTACTTGGTATCCGTGTTCATGTTTTGTTGCAGAAATACTATGTGCTTCATTATGGAGGGCTGCCTCAGATCCCACTGGAGGTGTTCAGTAACACATGGTCTATGACTCTATGACCTTCCCAAAGTCCTCCAGATTTTGAATTCTGAAACATATCTGGCCTCGAGGGTTTGGATAAGGGATTGAGGACCTGTATAAATACATTTAGAGGATGGGGGGATGCCTCAAGAAGGGAAGGAGCTGCTATGCAGGAAAGCTAACTTCTCAACCAGAGAGTGACAAGAAGAGCAATATGATAAGTTTACATAGAAATATGTAGGTAACTAAGAGAAGCAACAGAGAATAGAGTTGAAAGGAAAAGCCTTCGGGGAGCAGTCTCTGGATAGGAAGAGGTGTGGCAGAGGGTGACTCATTTTCACTGTAAGCCTTTTTATTGTCATGTGATGTGGTAAGCTATGTCTTATTTTGATGGAAAATAAAAATAATTAGGAAAAAAGTCAATCATCCTTCCCCCAGGAATGCACAGGGTGGAGAGCTGATAAAATCAGTGTGCATTTCTACTTGTCTAGTTAAAGATACACAGCCGCATATAAAGTTTCATAACCATTTCAAACATCTGGGGAGAAAGGATGCCCAGATAGTAAGTCTAAATATTCGGCTTAGAGGGCAGCCCAACAGATGCATGTTAATTAACTTTGTTTAAAGTCTCATCATCCTAAAGCACCTAACCCTTTGAGAAAAATCCAGAAAAAAAATACAAATATTCTTTCTGGGAGGCCTTGAGGAGGAGATCCAAGCTACTTTGCTCTCATCTCCCATAGTTCAATTTTATCACATGAACACAAGGCCTCCAAGATCATCCTGGGCTGATTTATAACAGGAATGCTAATGGAGTTCTTGACGTTAGGTATACTCTGCCCAAGTTTATTTATTTCTGCATGAGTTTTTTTTTTAAAAAAAATGCCTATTTCTACATCCCTAAATTTTGAAACATGCAGGAAATGACAAACTTAAAGCTTTACTTATGCATACAGACCAGGTAACCTGGTGAGTAGGAGCTGTAGTTTATTCTCTGTTTTGTCTTCACTGGGTATGACTAGGGAGTCACAACAATAGTGCTTTAAAGTAAGTAAAACCGGTAAGGAGCTGCAATTCTCATCAGAGATGCAACTGTTAAAACTGGCCAGTTACCTTCTAACCCTTAATTGAAAAAAATGTGCTGTTGGAACATGTCCACTCTCTCTGGTGAACAGTGGAAAGGCAAGGAGTTGTGAGTGTGGGTTTCAGGGTCAGATAGATCTGGGGTCAAACCTCTGCTCTGTCACTTAGTAGAGGTGTGTCCTTGCCACGATGCTTTCCCTCATCGTGCTTCAGTTTTCTCTTCGTAAGTGCGGATCGTAATACTGTCTCCCACTAAGCCAGGTCTCAATCTTGGCCCTACTGACATTTTGGGCTGGATAAGCCTTTGATGTGTGTGAGGGCTGTCCTGCACATTGAAAGATGTTTAGCAAGTCCCTGGCCCTTCCCCCTGGGTGCGGGTAGCACCACCTCTGCCAGCTGTGACAACTCAAAAACGTCTTCAGACGTCACCATATGTCCCCTGGGAAAGGAGTATAAAATCACCAAGAACCTCTGCACTAACCCTCCAAATAAACTGAAAACTTTCATTATTCACACTTCGTAAGGTTTTCATAAAATAATTTATGGAAATTGCTTAGCACAGACACTCGTTAAGCACAAACAGAATACTGGACTTTATATTATCTCAATTATATGTAGTGACCATAGGGAAAGAGACATACAGTAGGAAGAGAATATGTTAGAAAGAAGAAATGGACACGAGAGAGTTTCTCACATTACAGAAGGTCAACACTTGAAAGAGCTTTAGAGATTACTTCCAGTAATACAGATGGGGAAGCCAAGGTCAAAAGGTCAAGTGTTAGGCCAAGTTAGCTAAGGAAAACAGTGATTGAACTAGGACAAAAATACATAACTCGGAACTGGTCTCCTTTACCATACTGAATACCACGCAGCCACTGCCATCAATGTCTTTTGGAGACTAGCTCATTTATTATGGGAGAATAGGATGAGAAAATCAGAGAACTGGTTTAATAGAAATGCTCTCTCCTCCTTTCTATAAAGGACTGATTATGGGGGAAGTAAGACACCATATCTTACAGAGAAGTTAGCCTACTTTCTAAACCAGGAATTGGCCAACTCACCATTTGCTTTCAGCCATTTTTTGGAATGAAGGTAACTTTCCAACATCCTTTCATTGAACAGCATGTATCCCATGGGTTCTGAAATGATCACATCTACAGCCTCAGGAAGTGAGATTTCTTCAATTTTCCCTGGCAAAACAATGATCTTGTCTGAAAGGTGGTTACTTTTCACTAGCATCTGTAAAAGATAGAGTACCAGTACTACTGTTATACAGAATATTATAAAAATTAAGTTTTATAGGTTAGGGGTTGGCAGGGTGATAGGGATGAGAGGGAAGTGACCTATTTGCTTCTATAAATACCATAAAAACATCTTTCTTACTGCACAAACATTTCATGTTTACTATGGATAAATTAGAAGACACAGATATGGAACAAATAAAAACACCTATAACCAATACCACACACAAATAATAACAATTAACAGCTTGATGTAGACCCTTCCGGGCTCTTTATACAAACATACACTTATAGTGCATGTGTGTGAGTATGTGTGGTCCATGCATATGTGTGTGTATATATGCACATGTACTTCGGGGGGGTTATTAATAGTTTCAGCTTATTTCCTACTTTTCTACTGGCAATAAAGATGCCCCAAAGCTCTGTATAACAATCTTGCATAACTTAACAATCCTGATCCTTATGAAATCATCCCTTGATCTTTTGATTCCAAAAATAAATAATACCATGTTCAGGGCTTCCCTGGTGGCGCAATGGTTGAGAGTCTGCCTGCCGATGCAGGGGACACGGGTTCGTGCCCCGGTCCGGGAAGATCCCGCATGCCGCGGAGCGGCTGTGCCCGTGAGCCATGGCCGCTGAGCCTGTGCGTCCGGAGCCTGTGCTCCGCAACGGGAGAGGCCACAACAGTGAGAGGCCTGCGTACCGCCAAAATAATAATAATAAAAAAAAGTAATACCATGTTCATTAGCCTTTTTTTAGAAGTACATTTTACAGTTATCTATTCTTTTTTCTTTGATGTCCTCTGTATTCTATTTAATAACTTTGAACTCTCTTAAAAGGGGGACCTTGAAGAGAAATATAATTATTATATTTCTAATATATTTCTTCTTAATGCCAAATATGACAAGGTGGTCGTATTATTACACGTATGTCTTTCTGCTGCCTGAAAAAATATTTCCTAATAAACATCTTATATGCACCAGCACAAATACATACAGCACATCCCTTTTCAAGTTGTGGTTTCCTGAGACTCTTAGATCTTTGCTCACTGTATTTATATGTAGTCAGAGGCCCTCCATTTTGAATTTTTGGAACTTGACCCTTGCCTCACCCTAAGTGCAGTATACCAAGCAGTTGTCATGATTCAGTTGCATTTTCTCAATTTCTGATCACTTCTTCCCAAAGCTAGGGTATGTTTCACCTTGAATTCCATCCTCTAGGGTGCTTCCCACCCACATTACACTGCAAGTTTGTTAAATGTCTTTTCCACTTATGCTTTCCTTAAAAGAAATCAAGTAATCTCTGATCTAAGGAAAAACAATGAAGAAACTATTTGTACATGTCATCCACTGTCAACATCTACCCACGCACAAGGACTTGTGGAATTCCATTCTATCAACATTCTACACATGGCTGTCAAGTTCAGGGGTCTGTGGACGCGAGGCCTAAAGGGTAAAGCTTTCGGTACCCCGCCTGTCTCTGTGCGCTCTCTTCTCAGGAGAGCGCTTCACCTGCAGAGCTGTAAGCGCGGCTCCACCGGGGATGGCTGCCCACACTACAGCTTTAGGCTTCTCCTCTCACTGAGCGCTGGCCATTACCCGGACATTCCTACCAACCTGCTTTGTTATCTCTTCAACCTCAACAAGTAAAGAGCCAATCTCAGCTTCTTCTTGAAAACTAACCATTTCTCTGAATTTCTTTAAAATCTCTCTATAATCTTGTATTTCCTTGATTCCGTTTTGGTTACTAATGCCCTAATCCTCAGTATCCTGGAGGCATACATAGTTGCTTCCCATGGACAGTTAGTTACTATCTTTTCTTATTTCTACTTTGCAGATGTGTCTCATTTCCACCTTTTCCTTTCTGCATCAACTTGTCCAGTTCTTAAGAGCTTCAAACCTGAAATTTAAAAATAGCATTTATATAATGAAAATAATAATGGCAGTGTCTGCTTCACAGGCCTGCTTGAGGCTAAAACAAGATAAAGCATATTAAGGGTCATGTAAGTATTAAATTAGTATTGTCGTATTATTGTTATTAAAGAAAAGTGTTCACTGAAAAGGAGAGATGTAGATGAGCAAAAGAATGAAAATAAAAGTAACTGTATTCCCATCACCCGGGTGTAGGCAGGGTGTACTTCCTAGCAGACTTTTGAGTGTATCTCTGTTTATAAAAATATGTACTTCTGGGGCTTCCCTGGTGGCACAGTGGTTAGGAATCCACCTGCCGATGCAGGGGAAATGGGTTCGAGCCCTGGTCTGGGAAGATCCCACATGCCGCAGAGCAACTAAGCCCGTGCACTACAGCTACTGAGCCTGCGTGCCACAACTACTGAAGCCCGCGCACCCAGAGCCCATGCTGCACAACAAGAAAAGCCACTGCAATGAGAAGCCCGTGCACTGAAATGAAGAGTAGCCCCCGCTCGCCACAACTAGAGAAAGACTGCTCGCAGCAATGAAGACCCAACGTAGACAAAAATAAAATAAATTTATTTTTTAAAATGTACTTTTTGTAGTAATATTTCATAACCTTTTGTTTCATGTAGTTCGTTTTAGACCACTTTTCTGAATATTTTTTGCATCACGGCATACATAAAAATATAACAGTCATTTTTATGACACACTAGTGTGAATAGGAAAGACTGCCTGCAGTTTGAGACATCTGAGCTGGGGGTTCAGGCCACACAAGACCCTGACCATCTCCCATGAGGGCAAAGGGCATCAAAACCTACTACCTGGCACACTTTTCGGGAAGCTCTGTTTTAGACATCGTTCCATGAATTGCTCTAGAACATAATTTTTATTGGCTGTATAGTATTTCATAGCATACCTTGTTTCATTTAACCAACCCCAAGTTACCAGACATTCAGATTACATCAAATGTTTCATTATTACAACAGTGTATCGAAAAATAACAATGCAATTCAATCTGGGGACATACTTCTCACAACTTTTTTCAAAGTTAAAGGGTCTGGAACTTTTAAGGGTCTCTGGTTCACACTGTTCCACTGCCTATTGGAAAGGTGATTCCATTTCTAAATTTCAAGCCCTTCCTAAATTCTGCTTATGGGGTGTGAGGGTGTCCCCACAACCTCAACGTATAAGACTGCCTCATCCACCTGAACCATGATGTTGGAAGGGACATTTTTCTGGCTACATCTTGCTGGAGGGACCAATAAGATAGGATGGTCAAGTGTGTGTGATATCTACTCTACATGGAGACTTTACCTAGAATAATCCTAGACTCCTGAACCCTCATGAAGATCACAGATCTAATATAGTTTCAGAGAGAGGATGTTATAAGCTGTCAGAAGGGCAATTTGAGGTTCACAGGAAAGAAGCTGAGTCTCACTATTCTCACTGGTAAAGAAGGACATACCACATACATACAGGCCACTGCATCTTGCAACTTCATTTATTTTTTAACCAAATTCAAAGAACACTAGATCAAGAATCTGAAGATACAGATCCGAATCCCGCCTTAACCATCGAAGAGCTGTGTGTCCTTGGGGAAGTCACTTAAACTCTCTTAATTTTATCCCTCTTGCAAAACTGGAGTTTAAAACTGAGTTGTTTTAAGGTTCCTTCTAGTTCTAACATGTCACGATTAGAAAAAAAGCAAAATTTCTGCAAAGTACCTTCCAGGAGTCCATGAACATAAGGAGTTTCATGATCAAATAATACTGGAACTTCTTTATAATATATATCCTTCTTACAAATTCAGTGTCTATTAGCATATTAATGGATTTGAGAAATTCTGCAGAAAACTGTTTGGCTTGGCTAAATCAGACATCCAAACTTACTTGAATACTTTGCAGTTTTTTTCTTGAATGTTTATTTATCTCCCACAGATCAATCTTTCAGAAACAATAAAAATAGTTATTTGATAATCCTACGTTTGAATACAATTCCTCAACAGAGATATTTGAGAACAGGACATAAACTCAACCAATAACATCTCTAAGACACAAGAGCAGCTAATTCCAGATGTGAGACACACTCTATTCTTTGAGTCAGTCTTGCTGCCTTCCTTGCTCTTTGGTTTACAACAGATAGTTCTATGTTACCCTGTCACTTCAGACCCCATTCTTCCAAAACTGAAGTTCAGCACAACTACCCTTTCTAGAGTAATACATAACCAGCATCCAGGAAGAGAATATATTACACTTAAATCATATATAACCATTTTAGAAAACCATTTGGCATTATTCAATTAGCTGAAGATTTCTATAACTTAGAAATATCACTCCCTTTATAAATATACATTCTAGAGAAATGTTTGAACATGTGTATAAGATAACCTGTATTAAAACTTTATAATAATATTGGTAATTATAAAATAAAAATTTAAAATAAACTGGAATTAACTATTCACAGGGAAATGAATGAATAAATGGTATTATATCTAGGGGCCTCCCTGGTGGCACAGTGGTTAAGAATCAGCCTGTCAATACAGAGGACACGGGTTCGAGCCCTGGTCCGGGAAGATCCCACATGCCATGGAGCAACTAAGCCCGTGAGCCACAACTACTGAGTCTGCGCTCTAGAGCCCGCGAGCCACAACTACTGAGCCTGCGTGCCACAACTACTGAAGCCCGCGCGCCTAGAGCCTGTGCTCCGCAACGAGAAGCCATCGCAATGAGAAGCCCACTCGCCGCAATTCAAGATAGCCTGCATGCAGCAACAAAGATCCAACACAGTCAAAAATAAATAAATAAAACAAATAAATTTATAAAAAATAACGGTGTTGTATCTGTACTATGAATACGATTGAACAGTGAGAAAAAAGAACTACAGGTATTTGTGTTAACATAAATTAATTTCACAAGCAGAATTTTTGGGAAGAAAAGGAATAGGTTGCTGAAGAATACATAGTATGATTCCTTTTATTTAAAAGGTCAAATGTATTCAAAAGTAAACTGCATTGATTAGGATATACTACTAAAACTCTTTTATGCTAAGATGTTGGTACTTTTGGGAGTGAAGAGAGGGCATGAAA